AACGAATTTACGGAAAATCAATTAACAAACGGAGACGTAACACTATAAATGTTGGCAGGGTAGGAGTCCTTGTCAGCTTCATTTTTTTAAAAGGGGTGGTTGGCCTTTGGAATGGGTTGCCTTCAGATGTAATAGATGCAATTTATTTAAGGGAACGTTTGATAAATATTCATAAAGGGCTGACTTTGAGTTTCTTTAGTGTTCAATTTAGTGGATAGGATGGCCTAGATGGACCAAAAGGTCCCTTGTTGTTCTTTAATGTCATATTATTTCTTTTGTTATCAGCTTTAAAAAATAGTTTACTTTTAGTCATATGTGTACCTTTGTTTTCTAGTTGATTGCTGAAACTTACTAACAATATGCAAGTAAGTTCACTAAGGATTTAGCCAATTGTAAGAACCTTAAATATACACTACTACCAATGTCATATCTTGTATTTTCACTGGTACATTTTTTTTAACTCTACATAGAAGTACATGGTTCATATTTTTAGATATTATATCTCTCATCAAAATCAACAATTTGGTAGGTATCAAAATATCTTATTTTTTTAGATTATCCTAACTACTTAAAGATAAATTACAGGTATCAGTGTCTTTTGCATTTCAGATTAGCAAGTTTTCTGTAGAGGACCATGACCTGAATTCCAAAGATCATATTCCTCATCCACTGAAACTAGCAAGAAAGAAAGAAAGTGATGACTGTCTACCTATGATACTCAAAAAAGAAACCAATCATATTTCTAGTGGACACTATAGGTGTAGGTGTTTTGGTTTTTAGTTAAGAAATCCATAATAATAATTACAAAATAACAATAACTATTAGCAAGACAAACAACACATTGAAAAAATATTCTAAAACATTGTTAAATACTGCAAGTGTTAAATTATTATAATTATTATTATATTATTATAAACATAGAACCAAATAAATGCTTAATTTTCATATTTTATTTAGCAACCAATGTTTCATAACCTAATCACAGAAGTGATATTTTCATTTTGTAAAAGTAAATTCTTGTCACTATCATTCTAGCTAAGCCAAAGGGAACAAGAGTGAACCTGGCAACCCAAAGCACCAATACTACAAAAGGGACACACCACCATTATAACCATTTCAAACAAATGCAAATTCAAGGTCATCATGTTGGTAAAATCCAAATTCCCAGAAGTAGAACCCTATTTAATAGTTTAAAAGGTTCCAGCAATGGTCTTAGAAACAGAAAAATAACCATTCTTACGAAAACTGCATCAGGGCGAAAACTTCCTAAAAGCAAAATCAAGAAATTGAAGAAGGTTGCTGAGAGAAAGAAATTAATACCAAAGTGGAAAGTACAGTCCAAAAATGTGTAAACACGTCTTTGTCTTCCACCTAATTTAGATACCAGTAAATTTAAGCACATAGAATTTTAAGATAGACTTGACAACTGTTAGGAAACGAATAGAACTGGTGTAAAAACTGATAAATTACTTGATTTTTGGTAGTTAATCAAAATATATTAAGTTAATACAAAACGCTGATGCATGTAATAGCATTTTGATTTATCAATCTTTGTGAACTGTAGTTTTTTAAATATGCTATATCTCTCACATTATCAACCTGAATGCAAAAAACGTGAATATAAATGTATAAAGACTAAATACATATAATTTCTTTATTTTTTATTATTAACATCAAAAACATTTAATAATGTACATATATAATACAGAAATTTATAAAACAAATGAAAAACTTTCTGTGCACACAAAAATTAAGCTCTTGTATTCATTTAATCTTCTTTAAAAAAAGGTTTAAATTTTTGTGTTATTTTGTTTTGCAAATTTATTCAGAGTAAAGGAACAAATACGTGTAAAAGTATTATGAAATATAAAATTTAAATTAGTAATTTTTAGTAGTGTTTGTTTGTTTATTATAGTGCAAAGCTATGTAATAGTCTATCTGCACTTTGTCCACTATGGGGAATCAAATCCCATATTTTAGAGTTATAAGTCTGTAAGCTTACCACTGACCCACTGGAGAACTTATAGTAATAAAGGATTAGATTTGTGTATGACTTGTACAATGTACTAATTTCTATAAAAAAAAACTGTAGAATAATTAAGCTATTAATAAAGAAATAGGTCTGTGTATAATTCAGTGTATTAATTTGTAAAAAAACTGTACAACAATTAAGCTATTAATGAAGGAATAGGTCTATATAACTTATACAAGGTACTAGTTTGTAAAAAACTCTACAACAACTAAACTATTAATGAAGAAACAAATCTGTGTATAACTCATACAATGTACTAATTTGTAAAAAACTGTATAACAGTTAAGATATTAATGAAGGAAAAATATCTTTAAGACTCTCTTTGAAAAGATTACTGCTTATTTAGATGAGAGTAAGGGTATAGATTTGGTGTATCTGGATTTTCAGAAAGCATTTGACAAGGCACCAGATAAAAGGCTTATAAAAATTGGCTCTATCGGTGTGGGGGATAAGTTAATTAATTGGATGGTGAGTGGCTGGATGGAAGAAAGCAGAGGGCTGTTACAAATGGAGTTCAGTCAAACTGGATTAATGTCTCAAGTGGGGTACCTCAGGGTTCAGTCTTAGGACCTTTGCTCTTTTTTGAATTATATCAATGACATAGATGAAGGGATAGTCAATAAATTACTTAAATTTGCAGATGACATTAAGGTCTTGGGTGTTGCTAGCTGTGAAGAGGATGCTGCTGATTTAGATCAGTTAGTGAG